ATATTTAAAAGGAAAGAAAAACCTGGTAAGTCAAAAGTGAAACCAAGCTGACCAACAGTGTTGGGGGCATAGGTGGAAACAAATCAGGTTTATAAACACTCCTACAAATAATTTCTGCACGGTAATAGTACATTCAAGTAGATGAAGTTATTTTCATAAGTATGAACTAAACTAATACATCACCATGTGGTTTATAAAAAGTAAAATTAGCGTGACATGAAATACAAAATCTAAAGTGCAAATTTTGTCATTGATTTTGGACTATTTTCCTTCCTCCTCCCAGTCAAAAATCAACCGAATGATATAAATTCAACTGCATGCACGTCTGTAAATGCAATAAAACATCAGTTATTTCCCTGTTTGCCTGCCTACAGCTTCTCCTGCAGTTTAAATCTGATTTGGAATATAAAGCATGAACATGTATTGCAGCTGCAAGGCATCAGCAACGAAGCAGCATTTGCTGCTTGTGTTAATTAAACAGTTGATTCTCCTTGCCACGAAGGTCTTGGTATCTCACAGCAGCAAAGAGCGCAGTCACACATCCAGAAACAGTTAATATATTGTATAAGAGGCCACATAATGGACAGCAGCGACAAGTTCACTTCACTGAAGTTCACAAACACGCCTGGCTTGTAATGTCAGAGATGCAGAAGTGTGAGATGGTAACAGAACGTCTCCCTAAGCCCAAAAAAAGATTTCCTGACTCTTCGGAGAAGGAGAGGGAGGTCAGTTAGTTTGGGATTTGGAGGAAGGGGGGATGTTGGTGGTAGTTTGTGGTTATTGTGGTATTAGCTAGTGGAACTTTTACCCAAACTGTAAAACACTGGGAAATATACACTAACAGAGGTGCCATTCCGTTAAACTTTTGGCATCAGCAAAGCCCTTCTACATCTATGCATCTGGAAAATTTATGGAAACAGCAGGTAGGAGAGTAAGCAAGTCTGTTTAATTATCCTTTAGTTTTGCCACAAGCTGCATAACAATAGTTGGGGTCAGCTTGCAGGTTAAGATCTAAAAGGTTATTGAATTTTAAATGAAAGAAGAACAGATGTTACAGAAATAACATTACACTGCAATGACCGCCAATGAAATCATTAACAATCTGTGAACTGAATTTGTTTCCTTCTCCTTCTCACTATTTATTATTCGGGAGACATTTGTTTTAGGGCTTTATTACGTCTCTGTTAATTTCTAGTTTGTGCCATGAGCCATTTTCCCAACAACGCAAATTAATTTCAATCTTTTCTTCCCTGGTATAATTTCTTTACTAAAGACTGAAATCACTGTGTCATAGTGGCAGTATTTACCTGCTAGTACTGCCTTATTTCTTTTTTTTATTTTCTCCAGACAGTGCAACTTAACCACTGTCTTCTACATCACTCCATTTCTATACTCAACAGCAATGTAAATTCAGTTTTTAGTCCAAATTTTGTTCTAATTGGTTTGACAGAAAATTGCACATTACAGTATTACAAAAGGGTGACTTCTTGACCTAAAGAAGCTTGAAAAACCAGCATATCGGTGAAATTTTAAATGGCTTTACTATTAACAAATTGAAATATTTCAGAGCAAGTTGACAAATGAATTTTTTTAATGATCCTTACCACTGATCACTTGTCCAAACAGCTCCTCTGGAGTATCTCCAAAGAATGGCACACATCCAACAAGAAATTCATAGAGGATGATTCCCATAGACCACCAGTCCACTGGCTTTCCATAACCCTGCCTCAGTATGACTTCAGGAGCTATGTATTCAGGGGTACCACAGACCTAAAAAGAAGAAACAAACATGATGGTAAAATCAGTGTAATGATATCAATAAAGTCATGTTATTCACACGTATAATTCTTGTAATGTAAAATAATATAAATGTGAAATACAGAGAAATTGAATTCAGTAGGTTTTAGGTTTTTGAGCTTGCAAAAATCTAATTGTTTAAATTGTTTGCATTTTTTGACATCAATCATTTACATGTCTGTCATGCAAAGGATAGTTTCTTTTTTCATTTGCTTTAATATGTAGGAGCTCATCTCAGGAAATATTTTATTTAACTTAAACATATATTTATGTTTGCACAAAAGTTGTGATGGTTTTATCTTAAGTAACTTCTACAGGGAACAGCTTGTGAGCAACAGTAATGAGGCATGCTTCAAGGCAAATGGGCCATTGCAAGGGCTTTAGCACCCGTGGTTGTACAATGCATCATGCGCTGCACAAGTACTCTGCTGAGACTTCTGCATTCCTTACAAAAACAGTTTTCCATTTGTCTCTCTCACAGACTCACTGGAACACAATTAGGTCATTCATCTTACTAATAGATGCTAATGCAGAAAGGAAAAATAATCCTAGAACAATCCACAGCACAGCAGTAAAAGTAACTGCCATATACAACAGGAACACCAATGCAGAAATAAAAAACAGCTTATACATACATCCTGCTGGCAACACATGACTAATTCAAACACTCAGTGTAGAAGGGAAAAAGGCTGTATCTTACTTGTTTGTCCAGGAATTCTCTGGCATCCTTCTCAATATGACCCTCATACAGATTGGTAGTCAAACTCATTAGCCCCACCTTAGACAGGCCAAAGTCTGTAAGCTTTATATGGCCCATGGATGTCACCAACAAGCTGAAAATCAGAATGATCTCACATTAGTACAATATAATTCAACATTATGCACTTACTATTAAGAGGAAAATGTTTCATCAGCACCACAGAAATACAAAGACAATTTAACAAATAATTGTAGCAGGTAGAGAACAAAGGTTAAAAATCTGATACTGTCATACATTTGTATCTGCTTTTGCCAGATACAAGCAAACTATTTTTATACTCAATTGAATATCAGTTTAAAAGACCACATGAGTGGTAATAGTTAAATATATGTAGATTTACAATAAAAAATGTCTTGAACAAAAGGAAACAAACATCCTTCTGAAAGACCCTGGACTGATTTAGTTTTTGAAATGAGGCAGGCACATGCCAGCTAACTTTTTGAAAACAGACAGACAAAACAAACAGAAAACCCTATACAGTAAGTTAACTGCCAAGTAATATTACAGTGGCATGAACTATTATCTTTTGAAGGCATTTTTGGTCAGCAGACATGATCCCAATTGTTTTTTTAATATGGGACAGGTAGAAGATTAATGGAGATACAACAGTTACACCAATGACTACGGATCCTTATTTACATACACAGCACAGAGACTCTATTTCTAAACTTTGCAAAAAACATGCAACAAGAACCATTTCCCATAGATTGACCGGTTCTTTATTGCAGATATCTAAGTTGATGGCATTTTGTATCAAACAGCGTTCTAAGAATACTTTAAAAGATTTTTCTTCTTAATGGATAAAATGTATTTCCCTTCAACTATTTTTTTCTTCTACCTATTCTAATACCTTTTCCATCTTAAAGGGCTTTAAAAAAACACTTTTGGAAAAACATTCTCTGTAACTGCAAGTAATGAAAATTCCCCAAATTGTGCAGAAATTGTGAATTTATATAACATTCATAGTGAGAAACTCTGCATTTTACATAACAAAATGATATTCCTCATTTAACCATTTTCAAGTTTTGTTACAGTTGTGTTCCTTATACGTACTTGTCTGGTTTCAAATCCCTGTGTACAATTCCATAATTATGAAGGTATTCCAAAGCCAGAACAGTCTCTGCAAAGTACATCCTTGCCATGTCCACAGGTAAGGGACCCATATTCTTCATCAAAGTCGCACAGTCTCCACCTGTGAACAAACATGCCAGACTGTGCTATAAATGCAGGTGATCAGCACAACCTGTACGTGCCTGCAGAAGCAGGCATGCGTGTCATTAACGCTTATTTTTCAGCCAGGTCATTTCTACAATCCAGTTTTCTACAAAGGGTGGGAGTGACTGGTACAAGGTTCAGCAAAAAACCAATTAAGCCTGCAGTGCCACCGAAAAATAACCACAGAACCCAAACAACCACAGCCTTGGTATTTCATCTTACACTTTCTCCGTTTTCTCCTTCAACAGTAGCACCTTTTCAAATTGTTCCATCTTTTCTTTTTGAAAAAATCACTTATTGTAAACACCCAAAGATTCACTGATGAAAATTCAAAGTCGAGAAAGGCAAACAGCATTTTCATATGAATTTCAAATGCTGGGACACTTATGATTATATGACAACCTTACTGAAGGAGCATTTGCTTCTCGTCATGGTTGTAGCACAGGTGTTTTTACAAGCTCCCACCAGTAGATAACAACGGGGTAGAAAGCCATCCTAGCTTTGGTTTGCATTTAGATCCTAAACAAGTATCACCAGAGCACAGATGACACACAGGAGGCCCTTCTAGATGCAAATACCATCTGCATTATTCTTTTCATGGTGTCAGAAAACCCTGTTCTTCCACCATAAACAAAAACACATACTTTACCTTCTACATATTCCATGACCATACATAAATGGCGTCTTGTTTCAAAGGAGCAATACATGCTGACAACAAATGGATTTTCTGCAAATGTCAAGATATCCCGCTCAACGAAAGCCTGTTGGATCTGGTTTCGGAGGATGAGATTCTGCTTGTTAATTTTCTTCATGGCAAATCTTTGTCTGGTTTCCTTATGTCTCACAAAATAAACGGCACTGAAGAAGATCAAATGGAAGAAAAAAGGGTGTGGTAACTATTAAAAGTTTATTTTAAAATAATTTGTAAAAACAGACATTCATATCTTAAGATGCTGTATAGCTGTTATACAAAAAAGACTTTAGTTGATTAAGTCTTTTGCATCTGAAAATGCCTAAAGGCCTCATTTTGTTTCATCACCAGGATAAGTCTCAGTCAACACCTTAGCACACAAGTTAAAAATAAACAATTCCCAAACAAAACCAACAAAAAAGAAGAAATAAAAAGCTCTGAACAAACACTGCTCTTGGCCCATATAGACTTTGGGCGTCTCCGCCAGCAACGGGTTATGTACAACAAGAAAGGTCTATGACATAATGCTATAAATCATGCTGACAAATGCTCATTCGGCAAGTATGGTGTCATATAATTATGATTCAGACACTGCCCAGGGGATTTTAACATTTGTCACAGGTTTCTCCTGCAGGTTTCATCTGGAGCCTCACAAGTTGCTTGCTGGGTGGCTCCTTTATTGCCAGGCACAAAATGCATCATCCTCTGTACTTGTTCAGGCCACCAGCATCAAACTGTATTGGGGCAGGATACCATTGGGTAATTTAAAATAAAGATTGCTGCAGTTAGTACACAGCAATGTGTTACACTGCACCTCGATATACAGAATTTTTCTGGGGAATCAAGTATAAAGTTTTCTACAAGCTTGGCTAGATCAGGTCAAGGCAATGGCGGGGCGAAGGGTGGAAGAAAGCCTCACGCAGCCTTTACTTGCCATGCTCAGGAGAAGAAATTACCCTGCCACGAAACACTGACACAGGACATGACTGCTGCATTTTTCAGCCCCTTGAGGCAAACCCCGAAAATGTCTGTCTTGCTTGAAATCTACTTTTCAGCATTTAATGCTTGCAGCATCCCCAACAGACAATTACCACAGTAGTGAGTGTTTGTGGAAAGAGAAAAAAAAGAAAATCGGAGGAAAAAAAAATGCAACTCAATTATGTAGTTTTAAAATTCAATCTGTTGTTCCCATGAGGTCCAGTTATCAGCATACAGTTACTTAAATGAAAAAGGAGACACTTGTCTTAAGTATTTCTATGAAGAGCTCCACACAGCTGCTAAAGAAAAAAAGAAAAAAAAAAAAAAAGAGAAAAAAAGAGAGAAAAGGAAAAAGGAAATAAAGAGGAAAAAACAAAACAAAACAAAACAAAAAAAAACACACAACACAAAACCTTCTGCTTGCCTATGTGAAGTAGTTTCCTTGACAAGAAAGGTTCTCTTACTGATTCCATAGGCTTTCATTAATCACCTTCCTTATCTGAGTGCACATTATGCAACTAGGAGAAAAACACCTTGGGCAAAACCAAGACAAGCCCCACCCTCAGCTCCTCTTACACAGCCTGGCTCCCTCATCCCTCCCAAGCTCAAGAAAAAAACCTAGTTAATGACCTCAGCACTTCAGCTCTCCTCCCTGCAGGCACCAAGCCTTCTACCTGCACCTCTTCTCACCCCTTCCCTCCCATGCACCTCTCTTCTCCATCCCTTCCTTACAACACTTTTCCTTTGCTTTCCCACATATTCCATATTTACTCTTTCTTTCATTGCTTTCTCCCTTGCCAGTCACATTCAGTTTCTTAATTTCTTGAAATTTTGTCTTCTCCCCAGTCATAGCTCTTGGTTTGCTCTTGGAACATAGCGGAGGGAGCCCTTTGGGTGCCTAAAGCCTTGATCCACCAAAAAATGTTTTTATGAACTCACTAAACTTAACAGATTTCTGGGCAAGCAGCTCACTGGCAGCCTGGGGCTCTGAATGCTCAGCTTTCTCTGAGCTTTCATTCAGACATTATGTCAAGATGAACTTTTGAAAGACAGCTATTAGCAAGTGCATATCACTGCTTCGTAATTCCTTTGTCATTGCTACCATATTCAATGACGAAGAACTAGTAAGGCTGAACTATTCAACCATTCCCTACATACACATGCTGGACATGTTTCTCCAGATCTCTAAAATACATTTCTCAATTTCTTAATCACAGAAAGATAATTGTACATATTTCCACCAGAATTCAGCAATCCACAAAACTTCAGAAAAAAAACCCAGAATTGTTTAGTTCAAGATGCATCAGAATCACAAGAAGATGCCATCATCTCTCTCACATTTATGTGTACATACACAGCTTATACTGGACAAAACTATTTTGCTTTATTTTATTTTTACCCTCAGAGTTAAGTTTATATCGTTACTTATTTACATCCTCCTCCAGGTACCACAGAGCAAACAGGATTTATGCTTTGCAGAGAAAACTGCCCAAGACAGCAGCACGTGACTCCTGCTGATGTGTTCATTCTTTTACCAACACTCTCCAAATTCACAGCACTTAAGCCATTCCCTCAACTTACCAGTACTCTAACCACATGATAACATCTGCATCCTGTATTTGCTGAGCACAAGTGCCTGGTTATACTGGGTACAGTCCTCACACAAAAAGAAAGCTCAGTGAAGGGTGTTCATTAGTTTTCAGTGGTTCTGTCCAGCAACTTTGGAAAGAGATGTTGCCTCATTTTCTACTTCTTTGCTAATTCCTTCCATCTTCTCAAAACGTCAGAGACATGACTGGCAATATAAAAGAAGTCCCTAATGTAACTAAGGCAGCATTGAGGAAAAAACGCTGTCCAAGCCCCTTGCTTTGCAAGGTGTGTTGCATCACGGGAAAACCTCACTCAGCTTCTCCACCTTGGAGACTAGGTCACTAATTGCTCAGTTCACAACTCTCAGTGTATTATAAAGACAACTGTAATTCCAGGAATCCTTTAATACAAAAATAATGTTCTTCCTAGGACACTCAATTACCCAGTCAAACCCATTCAACACAGTAATCTGGCACCTTTGCCTGTGAAGCCACACAGCAGCTCTGTTGTGGCCTCCTGTGTTTTCAAACAAATGATTCTCAGCTCCCCCTCGCTATTTACATAACATGGCTAAGAGATTTCTAAAACCATCCCTGCAATTTCCCTGTTCAGGCCTCAAAACGTAGGCTCATATCCTCTGCTTTATTGATCTCATCACAAACTTGTATGAGAAGTGAAATCCATTCACAAACTTGGGGATTTTCCAAATACGGCTTCCTTTCACTTCTAACATAAATCATTTTCTCCAGTTTGAAAACAAAGCAAAACAAACTCTTTAAAATATCTTCTGCTAAGCACAAATGTAAAACATGGATACATGTTTCTGAGGTGACAAGAGAAATGACGACTGGGTTTCTGAATTGCCCCAACTTAAATCTTAAAAAGCAGACATCTATTTTTACCTAAAATTATTTACAAGCATCAGACCTAGTTTAGATTTCCTTCAGTAACCTCAGTTTCTAATCCTACTGCATAATCTTGTCTACATTCACTACTTTAGGCTAACACAGTTTTATCACTTGCTTTGCCCTGATCCTCCACTCCTAAAGCACCTCGAAATCCTTGTGGACACACAAGTACTGTGTTTGCTACATTTGCTGTTTAAAACTATAGCTAACCAAGAGCTATGCTTCATTTTCATAAACGATATCCTGACTGCTAAATTCTGCATTATCCTGGAATTACTCTGATTTGTCTCCAGCCTGGGGAACACCTGTGAGTAACGATAAGACAATATGATGTTTCAATGCTGAACACAGATCCTGGTCCATAAAAACACCTCTCCATATCTAAGGAGAGCAACATCTGCTATCTTGATGGCAGCTAGACAACAGGTGCAAAATAGGTAAACTACTGCTCAGATCTCCTGAGCAAGCTCAACAAGAGCTGGTCTATATTTGCAGAAATGCTCAGGAAACCAGGTTCTTCAGTCTGCTGAACACCCAGGAAAGGTGACAATTCAGAACACTCAGCAGTGTAACCTTCTTCTCTGCCACAGCAGTAGCTCCTACAGTTGGACCCTCACATACAGATTAGGTGCACAGGAAGATAAGGCATACTGCTCACTTGGAGTAGCTCACGAATTCAAAACTCACCATTTTGGGTAAGTCTGCAATGAATGATGAATTTAATAACCCCACAGCATAAAACCCACTACTCTCTGCTCCGAGCTGCACTGTAGAGCTAGAGGCTTCTAGTGAGCAAAGCCTCTTTCCTTGTGCGTACAAGTCAGCAAGGGATGGGAAGAAAAGAAACACATTTAATTGTGGCCCTTTCAGAGGTTCTGCTACTTAAGTGAACCTACTCATTTAAGCGCTGCAAGCTTCTCCCCACTCTCCCACACTTCCACTCCTGATCTGGTGACTAATGTACTGATCTGTCTGATAGGGGTGTCACTGTAGATGGGAAACTTCCCTAGTCCCATTCTGAATACAACTGCACAGCAGAGCATACTTGCCAAGCTGGTGAAGAGGAGACAGGAACAAATATCAAGAGTTGGGGCAGCTGCTGCTTAAGCCAACACCCACCCTGAGAATTAACAAATTTATCAGGCAATGCCATTAGTCAGTATGTCACATGCATCTGGACACTATAATCTTTGCAACAAAATAAAAGCATTCCATGCAGCTTCAAAGTAGCACTGTATTTTTGCTTTAAGCACATGTGCTTATATATTAGTAAAGAGAATCTGTTCTACTTTATCAGCTAGTTCATGAAGGCAGGATGATACCAACTGGAGGGGTTGGAATACCTATTCACTCCTGAGAGCTGAAATAATTTGGAGGGACAAAAAAAGATGCTATGACAACAGTAAAGTATAAAATTTGGGAATCACAGAAAGTTTTAGCTGCCTGGAGAAAAAAAAAAAAAAAAAAAAGAAGAAAAAAGAAAAAAAGTCAGACAGACAGCTTGTGAAACCTTTAATGACTTGGCCAGTGTCCTACATGTTTACTGGTTCACAGCTTGTTTAACTCCTTGTATATTTCCAACCATTCCCATAAGTCCGATACACCTCATCTACTATACAGTCATTTAATAGCACTACAAATGGGCTTACTAACCAATTAAAAGCAGAGGATTGCTCAGATATTTACTCCAACTTGCACAAAACTAATGGTTTATATTTAAACTCATCAACTTTAACGTATCTGACAAATCTCTGCTCCAGCATGCCAAGACCAACAATTACTCTGTCAAGCAGTAAAAGCTTTCCACTTCACTAATGAAGGCAGAAGCACCACAGTAAAATCAAAGACACTAGAGTGTATGCCTTTTTTTTCCTTTTAAATTGATGCAGAATGAAACCCTCCATTTTAACCTTGAAATAAATAAAATACTGCAATATCATACTAAAGCTTTAACCAGCACAAAATATGCTCACTAATGTATTTCTGAGAATAAATCAATGAAGCACAGGCAGAATTCACACATATTCAGGTTATTTTAGAAAGTTAATGGCTTGGAAAAATGCAGAAGAGAAAAAAATTGTACATAATAACAATAACTTTTATTTCAACTGCTTTTACTTGTAGTAAACTGCAATAAACACCTGTGGGTTAGTTTACTGCTTTGTATTAGCAGAGAAATATTGCACTATTATTCTCCATTTTATTGACAGGTTAGAAGGACTTTAGGTAACTGTGATATTAGGTGATGTTGCTCTTTAAATCTGATCACAGGCTTTCAGTAATCAACTACCAGGTGTATGGCATTAATGCAAAAAATGCTTAACACTTACCAAAAAATGCCAGCTAACTGTCCCTCTTATCTGATATACTAGAATGGAAATTTTCAAGCATATAGATACTTTAGAGAAAACAGTACCCTAGAGGATTCAAGAGTTCAAGTCTCGTTAGCTATTAGCACTGTAAGTGACTTGCTGCTAAAAAGATTTCAAACTCTTCAGTATTTTAAAAGAAGTCTATATTCACACAGTTCATCAAATGCCTTCCTTATGCTCTACACTAGTCACCAGTGGGTTACACCTTCCTTTCTTGTTCTTGAGTTTTTTTTGTTTCATTCAATCATTTATCATTCTTCTTGTTAAAAAAAGGAAAAAAAAATCACAATGAAGTCCACATGGTGTATGGAAGAGTATCCCACTGAAACTGATGATATTTTCCATTTTTAATATTATTACAGTATAAACCACAGCACAGTATAAAACACAGTCAGAAGCACACAGTCTACCCATTTTTAGTTTTGGTGGAAGGACAATCATGATACAAATAGAATCTGGATACATTCTGAATTGTTCGACCTAAATTAAATCTTTCCTCAAAAATTTATCAGGGTGTCACCCAACTTTTACCACACTTAGGTTGCCAAATTTATAAGTCAGGTTCATTAAGGTTTGTCACATAACAGATAGTGGTTTTCCACTCCATAAATAAGTATTTCACAGGAAGACTAATCTTGCATATCTATATCACATATGCCATAGTAAGCCTTGATTTTTCTTCTTTTCTTTTCCAGCTTCTCAAATCCTTACTTGTCCTGTTGTTTCAAATGCACAGTTGTCTCCAGCCTATGTTTCTTGATGACCTACCTAAGCTCCTCCTGACTGCAAAATCTAAGTAGCAAGAGCCACAGACCTATGCAGCCTATGCCTTCAAGCAGAAAGCTTCACATCTCTGGTCTCAGCACGCCCTTCTGCCTCCATTCCCTCCTTTCCCCCACTCCCACCCATCTTAAAACTACTTGCAAGTTGGGCAGGTCCAGCAACTCAGACCTCCGTTTCGCCTACACATGCCAACCACTCACAGCTCTTCTCCTCCTCCAGTACAGACAAGAGGGACTGGGTAGCAGATGAAAGGAGGGAAGGAAGGGATGTAGCAGCTGCCAGGGGAAGGAGAAGGCATGTAGACAGTGAGAGGATCAGCAATCACTACAAACTGCTGGAGCTTTGGAGAATAAATAGCATACAGAAATGAGTTTGCCTAAGGAGAAATCCCTGGGGGAACAAACCCAGAGAGGTTAGAGTTGTATTTGGATATTTATGTAATATTAAACTGTACTTTCTCTTTCCGACTTGCTGAAGCACTAGATACAAGCCTCTATACACACTGTCATGACCAACAGTACTAAGAGTGCTAAATGTTTCTTGTCCCATCAGGGCTCAGGGTTACCTTTAACTAAATAAACCAGAGAAAGGCATTATTGAGTCCACAATACTCAGGTCTTTAAATTTCAGAGCAAAAATTCCACTGGAAAGAGCCCAAGTGTTTTATCTTCTACATCCAGTGACTCTTTGAAGAGTGTCCAGCTCTATCAGGTTATTGCTTCTCCCTATTCAATCAGGAACACTTAGTATTTGGTCTTATTGAGCTGCTGCCAGAGAGAAGCATAGCTGCCATTTTTAGCATAAAAAGCCATATTTTTAGCAGAAATAAGCACTGTTTTTTAATAGTTTGTATCCCTAGAGATTAAGTCACATTCTGTTTCACATGTGCAAAAACACAGATCTTTTCCAGTATTAAAATGGTGACTATAAACCAGTATTTTGATTTGTTCAGATTTTCTTTAGCATTATATGATGACTACTTCTGAAGAATTTTTGTGATGTGACATTTAGTACTTTAATTCACTGCAGTGCACAGCAATTCACTATTGCCTAGCAGGCTTTCCAAAAATTCTCTTGCGAACTTTAAATATTAGCAGCAAAATAGGCAAACAAGACCAAGAACAGAGTAGCAGAGAAGATGAGCTCCCTCACCTAAATATCCCTGCAATAAGAAATAATGGGAAGTTTCCAAAATGAAATGCAACAGAACTGTTACACTCACAGATTACTCACCCATAAGCTCCATTACTAATCAGCTTAATTGTTTCAAAATCGCTTTCCCGAGGTTTTCTCTGCAGCTTCAGTGAGGTGTTAGAGCTCTGAAAAGTAAGAGGAGAAGGAGCAAATTTAATACAGTGTATTTTTCCAAAATGAGGGAACAAACAAAAACATCCCTAGGCTGCACACCCCAGCGATCCAGCCAGCTGCACTGGTAGCAAAGGGAGCCTAAAGCAGAAAGGTAGCTGTGGTATTGCAGCTGTCCGCCCTTCGCACCGGGGTTACAGCAGAGCGGCCTGAAGCCAGAATGACAAAGAAGTATCAGCGGTTCCCTGTGTGAGGGACCCACTCCTGCGAACCCCGCTGAGCACTCGCTGGCTGTTGCCTTCCTGTCTTAGTCAATCTGATTCTGGTGGTAACCATGTGTAGATGAGCACTTGTTTACACAAACCTGTACGTACTTCTAGTTAGCATGCTCTAAAATCATTTAGGATGCAAAGAGAGATGCACAAAATGAAAAATATGGGAGAAAAAAAAAGCAGTAATGAGAACCACTATTGAGCTTAGAGTTATCATAACTACCACACCACCTTTTTTCCTAGATGTATTTTTCAAAACATTATCTGGTCTTGAAGGTGAAAGAGTAAATTAGAAATGCAGAAAGAGGGGAGGAAGGTTTCCTAAATAATTCCACATGCCAAACCTATAAAATCTTTTTTAGGATGTTTTCCAAATTTCTGAAAAGTTCTGTGATCTCTATCTAAGCAGCTGAGCTCAATTTAGATCTCGTTGGAACATTTTCAATGAAATACTTCTTGAAGAAACAATTCAGTGAAAGATTAGTATGTTAATAGAACAGAAAAAGATAATTTAAACTGTTTAAGACCCTTTGAACAGCAGTACACAATTCTTCCTAATTTCACATGTATTATTTCAAATGATCCTGTGCATCACTTTCCTGCCTTTTCCCATGTATATTTATTCCATAAATACATTAAAACTATGTTTATCGCACAAAAACACTTTCAAAAAACATTTCTAAATACTCATTCTGTATTTTTCTTTCTTGCTTTCACTTCACCAACTCCAAGTTATGTTCCCCCATTACTTGGGCTGCATTATCCTTCCTTTAACTTTGATATTTGTATTTGCACAACACAACTTCTTAGCCATTGCTGAGCTGGTTTGCATGTAGCTTCTCTCTAGTTTGCACTTTTAGATTCCCCTTGTAAGCCAACACTTCCCTTAAATACTTTTCTTACTGCTTACCAACCTTTTTTTTCAACTTGTCAGTATTCTTCCACAATGCAATGGACAGGTGTACAATGGTCCTTTCACCATTGTGAAAATGAACCAGAACAACAGTCTAAAGGAACCACCATAGCTCTGGAAGCCTTTAAAGGTAGCACTTTGCCCTAAAAATCAGAAATTATCTCAAGGTCGAAAGACATCCAGCACAGAATGATGTCTTCTCTGTAGCACATCAGAACTGGCCAATCAGGTATCTTGTGATAGTATAAACTGTAAATGCCCGTTAAGTATCACTGAGGTACTTAACTATACATGCGTTCCTTCTTTCTATCAAATTGCAATAAAAATCTATGCTAAGATGCTATTGTAGGATTTACTCTGTTGATTAACATCCACAGTATAAAAGCAGGGTTTTTCTTTTTTTTTAAATAAAAATTCAAACCATAAAATTCGAATGCTGCAAAATGATTAACTCAATTCCACCAATCTGTTTTCCCTTGGTTTCCCCCAAACAAGCAGCTGACATAACATTAGAGACTCACTATTATGCTAAAATATTGCCAGACACAGATTCAGATGAACAGCGTACAATCTTGCCCATTCCAAACTGGCTTTCTCAATCACGACTACTCATTAACTAGCTCACTTTTTCCTTCTCTCTGCCCTGGATCTGTACAGCTCTCTTAACAGCTTGATAACTACCTGCCTCTGAAAAATCAGTTTGAAATGCTTCATTTTTAGGAAAGGACTTGGAAGTCCTTCCCAAAAGGAAAGGAAATAGATTAAACAGAAATAAAGGAAGCAGCAGCAAAACAGAAACAAGCTCAGCATCATGAACACACAATAACTTGACGGACACTACAGATACTGCTGTACCTAAAAAAATGGGCAGAAATTTCTCTTTGTTGTTCTAGCTGCTGTGTACCATGGTGCTAGTTTGAGCACTGCTCTGTTCTCCCTAACATCTATAGGCAGAAAATCCAAGTAGGGGCAAAGGAAAAACATGTGTTTATTTTTCTCTACTCGGCTTCAGCAAAAGCAAAACTGTAACAGGAAAACTTACACTCATCGATTCATCCGTTTCTGCAGTTTCTGCTGTTCCACTGTCATAATTAGCTAGCTGAGCTATTTCTAAAAAGGAAAAGATTAGAAACTTCATTGTAATATGTGTTAATTACAAAACTGAATTAAGCAGAAAACCAAAACCTGATGAGCGTCCCTTTCTAGACTAGTTAATAAACATGCTGTCCTATCTGTAGCACTTGCTACATAACTTTTAAAGTGTCTTGCAATATTAACAGAATAAATCCCACCTGGTAAACAAAGATCTGCTACTCCCCCTCTATTTCATCTATGAAATCTTCCATCAAAGAATTCAAACAGCTACACAGTAATGAAGAGCAATATTGGTAGGACTGCTGAAATACAGGAATTTTAGTTGATCTGGGTGATGTGAACATTCGGGAATAGACAGCACTAATTTGCTAAGACTTCACAGTCCGTAAAGCTTTGCTAAAGCTTCATAGTTACAGTTAAAATGCTTTAAAAATTAAGTACAAACTCTGTGGTTTGCGCAGAAATGGAATCAGCTGTATTTTTTTTTAAGCTTATTACTTATGCTGCCCCAAAACAGTCCACTATTACAGAAAATGTTAGGATTTTGGGGGTACACAAGTTGTTTTGTTACCCTATCCACTCTTGGTCTCTGCTGCAGTTGCTAAGTCCATTCTGTTCTCAGTGGGTCCAATAACATAAGGATTCCTTGGCATAATAAAAGCTAAATGAGACAGCTGCTAGCTAAAACACTCTTGGAAGCTTAGTATCACTTTAATTATGTACATTGTTAATTACATACTCTACAGAGACAAAGATAGCCATCAATTCATAAATTATGTCCTGGGGATCAGAGACAGAACTGCCTGAAATTTCTAAGGTGCATTTTTATTGTTGGTACTGCTAACTGAATTTATCAAGACAAAAATAACTTCCTATACAAATAAAATATCTGAATGAGATTTTTCTATATTATAAGTGACTATGACGAGTGAAATTCTAGGCAGCAATCTGCACAGTACTTACTATACTCATTAAGAGTAAATTAACCACACATAACCACACAGGTAATTTTGTGTTGGAATAGTCAAAATAGTATAAAATAATCCATGTATGTAAATGTTACGCAAAATACAAAGTTTGCAATGTGTAAGAATCTGAAGCACTCAAAGTGTTTCTTTGAAAAAAACAAACAAACATAGTTTAGAGTTATAGACGCTAAAAATACTAAAAGAGAAATCTGAATATAACGTCATTAAACAGCGAAAAATGTTTCAAATGAGAATAAACAAAAGAGAACCCAAGCAAAAACTATGCAGGCCAAGTTCTGAGTTGCAGCAAATTTTACTGTCAAATCACAGTTCTGTGAACACAGAACTTTCAAAATAGAAGTTTTGATAAAACCTTTATTGTATGGGTGAGAATCAGGCAAGTCAGAATAATAAACTTTGACAGCCTTCTCCACTGAAATTGTTTTCATAAATTAAAATGAGCCATTTTTAAAAGAGAACCTCTGCAAAATAACCGCTATCTGAAAAATATGTATTATGTGCAAACAGTAGGTAGTGATGGAATGGAACTAAGAGTCAGCTTTTCAAACACAGAGCTGAAGAACCATTTTGCAATGCCTAGAGAGATTTTTAAAACTCGTTTAAATAACATTAAACATCTGCCCCTTTTCTTTCACTGATTTAAACCATTTCTGAAGACTCATGACTCAAAAAGGTAAAGATGGTCATTTAAAAACCACGGGGAAAAACACCTCCCCAGGGAACTTTTGAGAAACTCGGCCACCAGTCTCTGCTAAGTGATGAATCTGTTGTCGTATTGCTTTCAGTGCAATACACATTTATCTGGGCATTATCTGCAAGTAAACCACGCACCACTTCACTCAGAAAGGACACTGCAGCCAAGTCAGCAAACAAAGGAGGAAAGCAGAGAAGGATCTAAAGCAGGAGGTGGGTTTTTTTCCGCAGAGGAAGTGAGAGACCTTGCACATACATTTACAGCAACTGCAGGCATAATTTAGCAGCTTGTTTGGAAACCCATTTCAGTGCTTCAGGACATCCATAGTTTTTGAGGATTTTTTTTTTTTTTTTGTGAAAAAGAGTCTGGTTCTTACTGCTATTCAATTATTTTCCATATAAGGAATTCAGAGATCTCTCACAAAAATGATTTCCATGTATTTAAATATAGGTTTTTTAAAAATGCAAGTGATTTTGGTGTTTTCAAATATTTCACTTTCTTGATGATTAATTTGAGGGCATAAACTAACAACGTCATTCTTATTTCTGCGTAATGAAGTGTCCTTTTATACAGAGTTGTCAATCTAAAAGCAGAATGGATCACTGGAGAAAAAATCATAATTATTTATACTGTTTGTGAATGCCATTTTTTTGTAGGGAGGAAGGAAAATATTAATATGAATCGTATGGCCTGAACTATTTGAATACAAATCTACATATACATTAGCCTTTAAAATGATACACAAAAAGTAATCGTCCTAAACCTCAATTGAGCCATCACACTCCTCAAAAAAGCACATAGCCTGTTTTTTTCACAGGAGAAAGATTTCAATTATCCTGGAATGTCTTAAAGTAATATTTATCAATATTTAATTTATGAAAAGAATTTATAAGATGTGCTCTAGATAAAATAGATATATAAAGTAAATACTGTTTCAGTGAACAGTATCATTTATTATTTATATGTAATATTTGTACCCAGACCTCACTCACAATAAACTATTTAAAAAGATTCAGAGAAGATAGATTTTTTACTCATGCTCAGGAGCCCTTTTATCCAAGTGGTCATAAAGATTTTAATCAGTAAGATACAGTTCAAGTAGCAGAATCAGGGTCAATAACACTAACCCCTCAACTTAGACTCCAAATTCTCTCTTGCATACTTGATCAGGGAAAAACTTATGGACTGTGCTTCTAGACCAGATGAACAGGTCTTCAAATCCAGCAGACACCACTTTATCCGGCAGAGAATTAATCTAATTCTTTATCCTTCCCAGTAACATTGAGAAAATATATATAGAAATTGTTTTCTATATATGTCCTGCCTTCTTGCTGTGTTCTGAATCCAAGCAGAAAGTGCTACTACTGCTCTAATGCATTTTTTACACTAAAAAAAATATAATTTTGGGTGAGGACATTCTGTTGCAGAGACAGGAAGAGGACTAATAATAGAATTGCATTTTTCTTTTAGATCTTTTAATATAACACAAGCATTGTCTGTAACAATAGCCAGTGTAACTGAATTAGATCTAACTAATTTCCTGGCAGCACTAACTACACATGCTGCCCAAGTTGAACAGAAATGCCTTCTAACACTGAAGGGAGCACTGAAGGGCTGATAAGGGTTCATCTCCTTTTCTTTTATACTTATGTTTGGATAACAGTGACCATCGAATTAGTACATCAAATTTCAGCCATACCCAAAACCCCGAAGTTACCTTGCCTGGTTTCAGCAACACTGCAACAACGCATTTATGAAGGATACTCGCACCAGAAAATCTGAGGCAGGCTCTCTAATCCCTTGGAGCTTGTGAATAAACTGTGAAGGTTAATGAATTACTTGTTCTACTACTGACTTTTCTTTGACTTTTTGAGATACAAAGAGAGTATCAGAAGGATCAAACTCACTGAGATCATCTGGGAGTTGATAGCTGGATCAGGAGGAGTACTTACCTTCCAGTGGATCTTTATTTAAGCCCAGCTGGCTAATAATATATCGAGGAATGTCTGTTTTAATACCTTGTCCCTCTTTAGCATGGCCTTCAGCTGCTTCCAGAAGATAGTAAAACTCTTCAGGATCAAATTCCTAGAAGGAAAACAATCAATCCCCATCAGTCTCCTTGCAGAAGCTGAAGCCCCAAAACCCAATATAAAACTTTTATTTGTTACTTCTATGGCAAACATTTGATATTTCCCCAAAAAACCCCACCACATTATTCTGTTACTAGTAACTTAATATTCTTTTTACAATTGCTAAACAATGTAACATGCTGTAAAGTAATCAAATTTCAAATTGTTATTACAGAGCATTATTTAGAGGTGTAGGAAGTTCTCTGCCCTCAAAACTTCAGAATGAAATGACCTATAACCAGCAATGTGACATTCGAAGATAAAATTCCACCTACAGAATACTTCTCCCTGCTGCCACTTGCATATAAAAATATATTATTGAAATAAACTGTGTAAATATATTGCTCTCTGCTTTTACTTCTAAAAAATGTTTTGAGATTTTTAAAATCAATATACATGTACTTTGTTTTATGAAAAATACAATTAAATAAATCGTTAGTTTTAGAACCAAGCTGAAATAAAAAGTTGCTGAAAACAGTATTTGAATTCCGCTGATCCAGTAGTTCCAAATTGGGAAACAAAACATCCTCCTTCAAAGACCAAATATATTGTTATAATCATTTATCCCTTGCCTAAAAGGCAAGCCTTAAACAGTCTCTCCCGAAGAGAGGGGAAAAAAAAAAACCCACCAAACAAACAAACAAAAAACCTAAAACCTTGCCTCTCAAGTCCCCTGCAGTTTATTTTACTACCTTAATATATGATAAAAATGGAAACAATTGGAATAAACTAAGAAAAGAGGATTTTTAAAAAAATTATTTTTAAATAAACTCTCACTAACATCCTATCTCTTTCTCTTAATTTGTAATTAAACATATAAAATAAAAACTCTCACAAAGCCCTTACACTCTTGACAAGATGTTATAGTCTACCATAAACCATGACAGGCTCAATGCTTATAGAGCAAGAGTCAGAAGTGATTTCTCCGGGGAAGGTGGCTTAAATCATGAAGCACTGGGACTTTTAGCTGTTCCAGGCTGCCCACCATCCTGTCAGCTCTGTCACAACCTCCCACAGACACCTGGTGGGACCTTGTGCGGGTTGCGTGCCAGGACTGCCTGGGCTTGGGCTGGCCTGCCGGCTCACAGGGCTCCCAGCCTTGCCCCAAACCCCTACAGCCCTTGGGAAATGCAACAGCCCAACCCCAAAGACAGCTTGGGAAATGAGGGATCATCTTTCAGTTTGGAAGCGTCCAAACTACCAGGAGGAGACAATTAACCGAAATGAAGTACATCGGAATTTTCAGTCTTGTGAAAACAATCTGGTTCTGTTTGTTATTTCATTTTCTATGAAACAATCTTCATCTCCAGCCCTATTCCACCAGATTTTCATAAATGCATAAAATGCCAAAACTCTCTTTATTAGCTTAAAGTCTCAAGAAGTTGCTAAACTGCATGGAAACCTGAACGGAGTACTAAACATTAAACGCTACTCTAGCTTTACTTGCCTCATCTGACATGTTGTTGCATTCCCCAACCGAACCACTTACACCTACACCCCAGCACCGAAGAACTCTGCAATGTTTGCCAAGAGTTCTCTTCTACCCTCATCAAGATTTTTTTCTTCTCCTTACCTGCATCATTGGCTGAAATATTTGTAAAGCTTCTCCTCCACTTGCTAGTTAAGTCAGACTAATTACAAAACAGATGCTCTCATCACATGAAAATACACATACACACATGTTTAGAAGCACGAAATTTATCTCTCACTCTCTATTTTTACTTTTGCATTTCATTCTCATGTACACTCGGTATTTCAAATGGAAGAAATTTTTCTAGATTTGTCAGTATTTGGCACAAACCAAACAAGCAAAAGCTTTACTCACATGATTAACAAATGAACACAAATAGGTGCTCACATACCATGCACATGTGAGCTAAGAGCACTAAGCAAATTGATAGCACTAACTTAAGGTATTTTTGTAAGTTCTTGTGATAAAACCACTGAATTTATTTCTTATAGTGTCACAAACTTGCTTAGAGAGGCTGAAGTTTTCTTTACCTAGTATCTATTTCAGACAAACTTTCTAAAGTATCAGTCAATGATTAAAAAGTTTCTAGCGGGATACTATGAAAAAAACAACTGTTTTTTTCCAAGATTAAAACTATTCCAGTGACATTTATGGGGTAGGGTTTAGCACTTCCTTGCATTAGAAATGTGGGGATTTCGACAGTCTACCCACCTCTGAAGAAACACTGAAGACTCTGAAGCAGTCTCTCTGCAGAGACTTGTTTCATTGCAGCTAAAATCTCCTAAAGATCTCATCCAAAATAATAATACTCTGAGGGAGGGAGCTGTGCTGGCTTTCTCTGCAGCTGCTCTCTGCGAAGCTGAACAGCTGGATGCAGTAGGCACCAGACGCAGGGAAGGAGCCCAGCTCCTGGCCTCTCATGCCTGCCCTTCTGGGTCAGGTCAACGGGCCCAGCAAAAGGAGGCAGAGGACAAGCAGCAGCTCTGCTGGAAGCACGATAAGGCGAAGGAAGCAAGCTAGGATCAAATCCCAGCAGAAACTGGGGACTAAGGGCACAGAGAATGGGACTAGTCAGCTATAAAACTTAGCATTTTGAGGGAATGAACTATGGACAAGAAGGTCCCTAGGAGAGAACCTGAATTAAAAGGCTAAAAGACAATGAAGTCAGGGTCAGGACTCGTAGAGAACAAATGAGCACTGGAGACAGAGACAATGTGTCACAGGGAACACAGGTCTCTGAGCCACAGGGCAGGTAATACGTTTGAGGATATTTCCACATACGTGACAATAGAGAAAGGCAGGGACAAGGAAGAAGATGAGACAGATCTTATGAGAAATTGGGGAAAAGTCTGAAGAAAAATTGTGTGACCCCTGAGAACACTATGTTTGAAGGTACAGGGCAAAGGAACAATGCTTGTGGCTCGGATTCAACAGCAAAAGCAGTACATGCTAAAGTCTCTTCTCTCCTCGAGGACCTGAAACTCTTTTTTTTTCCAATCACTAGTCTGCTGTTTAGGAGCATACACCTTATTTTAGATTTCTTCTGATCTTTAAGTCATGAATGAATTGCAACTGGGAATACTGAGACATGATGTTTCTGAAACAAACCGGAGTCAGCTCTCACCCACAGCTGAGCTATCTAGGTCATGGATTAACTGTGCCACAGTTAAGGAGCCGCAGCACAGAGCCAGACCGGGCTGGAAAGACTGACTAGCTCTGAGTCAGCGCCATGCCAACACAGTTAGGCCGCTTCCAGGCGTCGTCTGAGTCCAGCAGCAGGTTAGCAGCTCTCTTCCCGAGCAGAGCCAGGCCAGCCTCAAACAGCTACATGCAGCGTCAACACCACGAGCCTGGCACCGGCAAGTGCACTGCCTCAACTAAGGCAGCTTGGGCCTCGCACCAGGCCCCTTGGACTCATATTGGTACTTACATGGTATTTGGATGTCTAAACATTCTCCCAAGCACACTGTGTTCTGTGTGGACTTATTAGTTCCACCAAACTATTCCAGCACGTTGGCTCAGTGCGTGAGCAGCTTCCCACACCTCAGCCACGCAGATAGCGCAACACAGGGAGGCAAGGCACCAACACTCCCATGTGATCTCACGCGACTCACCCAGTCTAGCAACCTCAGCGCTATGCTCACGTCTAAGTTAACCCTCATATAGTCCTCAGTGTAACTCAGAGCAGCTGTACATCCACGTACTCTAACTCCCCTGACATGCCCCACTGTCAGTCAGGTGTTACAGAGCTCACTGCGAGCTGCTTATAGCCCAGGCAGCAGCTGCCGAGTGAAACAGAACTCACAAACTGGTACAAGCAATGATCACAAGGGAAAAAACACCAAGTAAATACGATTCTGAATGCAGTTCACAACACAACCAACAGAAAAACCCAACTGGACTTTGGTATATAAAGTATTACATTTGCAACAGAAGGAACTAAACACAGCTGCAGGAGGACCCTGACAGTCCCTTGTTTCTGAGTAAAAACCAAAAAGTCCCACCAACAGTGAAACTGTGTCCTGTAGTGTTTGGACGCTTAAAAAACAAAAACAAAACAAACAAAACAATGTAAATGGCCTTCAATGCTAACTGATGAAATGTCCCATAGCAGCAAGTAAGAAACCTACGTAGAGCAAGCAAGGATCACCTTACCAGACATTCCAATAAGCGAGCAGGACGAGCAATAATTATTAGGATCTTTTGAACTAGCTGCTTGATAAATGCCAGTTCTTCACTCTCTGATCGCTCTTGAGCCTAAAAGACAAGAAGAAAGGGATAATTATTCACTACTCAGAAAAGTAGGATCATGGGAAATTTGGGACACCTTTTGCAGTTTTTGAAGCATGCACTTCAAACAGTAACTCATTTTCAAAATGCCTGCTGAAATAACAAGGATTTGAGCAAAAAGCAACATTATCATTTCAAACTGAAGTCATTCCCTATGTACAATTCTAACAGTTAAATAAAAAAGGTTACAATTCCAAATGGAAAATTCCATTTGAAATGCAATTTCATATTTCAAGTATCTCCAAGTCTTAACTTAATATTAACAATTTGGGATAAGAAGTACTGTAATTTGAATACCCCCTCCCACATACACACAGAACAAGTCTAGAACTCTGCAATAGGTATTAGAAGAACCTTAATCAGACATAAGTATATTTATTCCATACACTATATCCAAAGAGAACTCTCTTGTATACAAAATACCTGCCTATTTTAATCACGAGCAAAATTTAAAGCAACTTCGTATGCCTTTTTAGATGCTTCGGTGTGTATATGAAGAGAAGACAGAATACATGTTAAAAAAGCGTGAAAGAAATAAAGCTTTCAGATCCCCCGACCTTAGAATTAAAAAAAAAATGTCAGCTGAACAAAACTGCTCAGGCCTCAGGGGAGTCTCTCCCCGGTTATGTAAAATGATCACAGCATGTCAAGTAGTGGCAGGAGATGCAGCTTTCTGCTGAATGTCACAGCTGGGAACTGATAACAAATACATCACAAGAATCCAAGAAAGCCCAGTTCCCATAACAGAGTTGTGCAAAGAACAAGTTCTTATAGTCATGTTAAGCTATTGACCGATATTCAAAATCTACTTTGAATAATTTAAGGAATCTAATTGTTATGAAGCACGAAACTTGTATATCATACAAAAACTGCATTACATAATATGACAGGAATGATGTGCTTTGATTGATGTTTTACTGTTTTACTGTTTTTGATGGATGTTTTACTGTTTTTCCAAGCTGTTTTACATACAGCTTGGAAAATAACTCACTAGACATTTTTTTTAACTCATTGAGCCAACTTACACTCTAAGCTCTGCTTACTGCACAGCCATTTTAAACACATATAATACACTTTTGCTAACACTACCCAGTGAATCTTAACTTTCAAAACACGTTTCTTTACATTATGACACTGACACTAGGACAACATAATTCATAGTCAGATATCTCCCATGTATCTTGGCCAACTCTGCCTGCACTTTGGCATCATAAAAATGAGTGTTTCACAAAAGGGTCACTAGTTCAAATTTCTTTTTGATTAGGTAGGAAAGTGCCATGAATTTTTCCCGCTTGAAAAAGAGAGTTTCAATAATCCAGAAATACTTCATTGATGTGTCAATTTTGGAACTGCTTTATGAAGGGGAAAAGTTCAAAATTCAGAATTTGTAGCTATTTGCTAAATAGAAGTTAACAAAAAAGGAGAAGACAGAAAGAATCAAACAAAACCTTTAGAAATTGTCCCTGCATTTCAAAGAAAGCAGAAGAAAAGACTTAAATTAAGATAGGCAGGAGAGTTTAACAACTCACTTGGCAAATTTCAAGTCAATATCAAATCTGCTGCTCTGTCACAAACTATGGGTCATGCTGCACTGTCAATCACTGTGTGCGAATCCCACACAAACAGGAGTAGAGCATCTAACATAATCCTTGCTTTAAAGGATTTATTATGTATTTATAAATTAAAGTGACTTATGCCATAGTACATTCCATTCCCTTACTTAAGTTCCAAGTTTTTCTTATCCATTCAGCTGACTAATTTAAGGAATTTTTTAGATGCTTTTAAGATTTTTTTTTGTTAATAAGCTAATTAATTATGAAAGAAATATTAAGAAATTTTTTTAAGAATAGCCTTCAGCTAATGGAAAGCTAAGGATTGCTATGTGCTATCTCGACACAGCAGGCAATTAGTAGGGTTGATAAAGTGGAAAGAGTATGTGTTTCCTAATTTATCCATAACAAATAGAACTGTGAGTCTTCTCATTTAAGGCTTATGCACACACTTCCCTAAGCAATTTATAACTTGCAATGCATAACATAATGCTACTGTTCCTGAAATCTTTATCTCCCAGAGTAATTCACTAGGATGCCTTATAGTCCTTCTAGTGGTCATTATGCAAACTAAAATTGCTATGAATACCACTTGGACAATTATCAATTATTTGAGTGCAACAGTCATGATTATTTCTTAGGCAAACAGATTTAAACATTTTTTTCAACCAAAGATAAGACTAATCTCATGGCTCATACCTCCTGGAGTAATGTGTCTAATTTCTGCTGTAATTCAAGAAAGTATCGTGATGTGATGAGCCCCTGGTGGGATTTATCCAAGCAGTCTCGAGCCAGTTCTATGATCTGATGGTGGGTAAAACTGAGCACTCCATCTGCCAGGGGAAGGACGTTATCTGGAGAATGGTTTGTTACGATATCCTGAAGCCGTTCTTCCATCTGAGCTGTGGCCTACATACAAATACATACATGATACAAAAAAAAAAAAAGAATCAGCCTTTCCTGGAATTGTAACATCAAAAGCAAAAAAAAGCAAAAGCAAAAAGCAAAAAAGCAAAAAAAAAAAAAAAAAAAAAAAAAAAAAACAAAATGCAAAAAAGAAAAATTCAAAAGAGAAAGAGGAAGCAGACAGGCAAAATGACAGATGGTATTTCCCCACATTACTGGTGCAAAAAGCAATAGCTAAGCACATCTTCCCTGATGTCTGCCTCTTGGGATATACTGCACAACAATCTTGTAATGTTCACAAAGCAGAGCTAGAATAATACCCGTGACAGGAAATCCTTAATTTCAAGTCAAAATAGTAAAAAGGAGAACTTACAGAGGTCTCCTCTGTTTTGCTAAAACTTTAGGTATTACAAACCAGAGCATCTTCCTTCCTTTCAAACGAGTTTAACCATGAAACTACTTCCCTGGGCAGGGTGTGAAAGAATATTAACCAACAAAAATGTAGACTCACAGATTCTGCAATACATGCACAGAGGTTACTAAAAGTGTCTGCTTTATAGAATCAAATGTCTCTTTCTCACAGAATTGCAGATACTTACTGAAGACATTTCAATATTTTTCTTATTAAATAGTAACCTAAAACCTTTTAGTTAGTATCTCACCCATTGAAACAAGTCAGCCATTTCACACTTCAGATTAGTGCTCAGCGACTCTGCAAATCCACACAAACATCTCTTTATATTTCAGGTTTTCTATTTTGTAGGTACTTTTTGAACTGTATCAGCTTTAATTTTTATTATTTATTAGAAAACATCAAACTCCTAGGAGCAAGAGAGAAGTGCTCCTGGCAACACGCCTACACCTTGGAATTCATCTGTACATTAGATCTCTGGACTTGACAGCAACCTTTTCTTATTTGGTATCTTGTAGTGAAACCCTCATAACCCTGTATTGATCTTCACTATTAAAATAAGTAAATAGAGAATATTAAGGAAATAGGAGAAAGACCACTGAAGAAAGGAATTTGAAGGTTTTTCAGTTAATGCTGCACAATATTGAGCAACAGAAATGTACTCTACTCTAATGTATACTTATTGCAATTTTACACCATCTATTGAAATCAAATTTATCACAGCTTTCTAAACATCAGAATATATTACCGGTGTGATTCATTTCAGAACCAGTTCGGCTGCTGTGTCAACTCAATGTCCAGCAGGGTTTTTCTTCATTGTGACAATAAGACCTTGGCGATGCTTTATGAAAGCCATTACAGGCTTGGATCATTAGTTCCCATAACAAAAACACCAGTTACTTAAAGCCTATATTGCCTACTAGTTTAGATACAGGGTATCTTAAATATAATTCATTACCTTTGGGAACCTTTCTTTGTAGACATGGTTCATCATTATTATTTCATTGTCACAGCAGGCAGGAGAACGTCCAGGGCTGCAAGCAAAACAAATTATCCCTTTTTAACTTGTCTCACCATGAATTAGAATCTTTTATATTTCCATACCGTTTATTTGCACCAAAAGGTGGCATAGACTTCACTGGAAAGTTACATTCTTCAGTCAACTGCATGCACAAGTAGTCCTTTTCTTCTATTTTTGACCAGGCATTTAAGATTATTTCATGTGCTGGACCTCTAATTGTCAACATTCTCCTACATTATAACTTCACTTCAGGATACAGGCCGTTTTGCACATTTGTGACATTACGTTTTGTGACATTACATTTTTCTCTAAGGGGACATTGAGATACATATAACTTGTGAAAGCACTTATGTATATATCCATCCATTTGAAGGCAACACATAATCAAAACAGTATAACCTGACCAAAATGCAAACTGTGAGTTAGAAGGGTTGAAAAGAATCCAAAAGTCTTATTCTATTATTGAAAAAAAAATCTAAAAAAAAAAAGACACAATCTACTTCATCTACTTCCAATCTGACTTGCAAAAAAAAAAGCAGCAACTTCCATGAACAGAACAACACACACACATAGATTCCATCAATACCAGGAGCACTGTGCCTGAAAAAAAGCACGAGACTTGCAGGAAAACAATTCATAAAAGGTACCCATGGCCTTGCCTAACATAGTCAGTTATCACCTCTTTTAAAAAGCTCCATCTCGTCTTCCCGGGCTGGTGATGCTGGCATTTAGCCTGGTCTAAAAAGCGCAGAGTAAGAATCACAGAACAGTTGAGGTCGGAAGGGACCTCTGAAGATCATCTAGTTCAAGTCCCTGCTCAAGCAGGGTCACCTAGAACACAGGATCATGTCCAGGTAGGCTCTGGATACCTTCAGGGAAGGAGACTCCACAACCTCTCTGGGCAAGCTGTACAGGGCTCAGTCACCCTCACAGTAACCAAGTTTTTCGTCATGTGCAGACGGAACTGCCTGTGTTTCAGTTTGTGCTCGCTGCTTCTTACTCTCTTGCTGGGCATCACCAAATACAGTCTTGACTGCCCCATCCTCTCGACACCCTCCCTTCAGATACTTATACACATTGATAAGATCCTCTCTGTCTTCCCTTCTCTAGGCTGCACAGATCCAACTCTCTCAGCCTTCCCTCACACGAGAGGCTCAAATCCCTTAACCATCTTAGTGGCCCTCCATGAATGTGCTCCTGATGCTCCTCCAGAATGTGTTCCTTGTACTGGGGAGCCCAGCACTGGACACAGTACTCCACATGCAGCCTCCTCAGGGCTGAGTAAATGGGAAGGATCATCTCCCTCGACGTGCTGGCAACACTTTACGTAACGCAGCCCAGGATACCACTGGCCTTCTTTGCCACGAGGCCACGTTGGTGGCTCTTGGTCAACTTGCTCTCCACCAGGACCCCAGATTTTTCTCTGCAGAGACTGTCTCCAGCTGGTCAGACCCTGGCTTGTACTAATGCTGTTATTCGGACTTTATACTTCCCTTTACTGAACTTGGAGAAACTTTTTACATGTGTAATCTAATGAAGAAGCATCTTTTTTTCTCAGTAACTATTGTTTCACATATATAACATTCTGCTTCACAACTTCATTTATCATAAATTTAACACAGAGTTTTAAATAAAGTAAAACTCAAGAAACAGTTAAAATATATTACAATAAAATGGTGAATCCTGTATTTTTATATACCTGTAGAGCTATTTTAAAAATTCTGAATAAATCAACAAAACAATTACAACTCTAATACTTCCTTTTCTTTCTCTCCGGTTCTTCAAAACTCATCTGTACATCTTTTCTGTGTTTTCCACATACCACCTAAAGACAGTCAACGCATTCGTTCCTCCCACCGCTTCACTCTTTACCCCATTTCTTTCTAAATGGGCCTAAATTATAAATAAGTTTAAAATGGCTTCTCCAAAGAAAGGCTCTGTTTTGTAAATACTTTGAACTCTGGAAGCAGATCAGAGCTACAGCCAGATCAGTAATGATTAGCTCAACAAGACAGCTCACATGGATGGAAGTTATTAGATCCCTCCTTAAAACCATATAATACAATATTAACCATTGAAATAAATAAACAATGATCGAAACAACAATTTAAGTATTATTGAGCAACAATTTTAAGAGGACTATTGTTCAGCCTCAGCTTCCTTACTACTTGCATTATATTACAGAAATTTTGAAAATAGCAATAATCAGTGAAGAGCCCCAATATACAAAAGCATGATGCAGCGCAAATGTATAAATTTAGACTCAACCACTATTTCCAGACAGACAACTCACCTGAGGCTTCTGGACCGAGGACGCAATGGAGTGGTCCTGCATCTGCTATCACTGGAAATGCTTTCAGTGGTACAGAAATGTTTAGATAAAAAATGTAGTTCATCAGGTGTTGGCTGATATGGTAACTGGTGTAGCTTCTCTTGAGAGGAACAGGATGACTACAAGAGCAGAGAAGAACAGAAGTTTCCAGAATTTGTTCACTGCTCATGAACAAAGACATTTAATTTATAAAGGATAACTTTTTCTCATGCTTGACTACCAGTTTAAAGAAGCAAATAATTAATCTTGACTAATAATAAAACTAGGTTAGCCTCAGAAAGACATTAAATTTCAAATGTTTAAATTCCCCCAATTTAAGGCAAAGACCACATCTGGTGTCAGTAAAACACACCAACATCTAAGGAACATTTCAAAAAGGACCTACCGAAAATTAATTTTTTAAGCAGGATAGAATAAATATGATGGCAGTAGAGTACAATTTACAGCCACAACACATATTGCCATTCTAAATACTGAAGTATTTGATTGTCTAAATTTGCTTTTAAGACACTATAAATGCTTTATTAAAAAAAAAATCCAAATTCTTGCTGAAATTATTCACACACTTTTTTAAACTAAAAACCTAAAGCAAAGCAAAAGAACTTAATACATGTATCAAGATAGACTCTAAATTGCATATAAACCATCTACCACCGAGTTCAAGAAGGCAAGATACAAATGCTTACAAGATTGGAAGTTTTACCACAATAACTAGCCTTGCAAAATTGCAAATAAACAACGACATACTATTAAAAGCTATCTTATAATGATAATGCTATCATATTTTCCCATCTGTTAGGCAGCACTGGTACCTGAGCCACACAAAATGCCAGGTGGTGAGTTCTGAAACTCTACAGAGCCTGCGTTTGATGTCCTCATGAAGGACACGTACACAGTGCAACACATCTACAAACAAGTTTGCTAATAAGGATTTAACTAGTGAAAAGAGAGCAAGATGCTGTTTCTGGTATCAAAACCAGTTTCCAAGATGGCTTGATCATAGCTATCTTTTTATCACTATACCATGAGTGGTGCCATGGCATGGAAGACAACCTTCTTTCCTGCAGTTTTTTCAACAAAATGAGATTCTTGTATATGCCAGTCTTCATGCTGTGCAAACTACCCTTCTTATCTGGCTTCTCATGAAGGGCACCAAACCTGGCTGTGCTTTTATTTGCAGCAGCACAATAACCACCTCCTCAGAGCTGCATCACAAGTGAAGGTAATCAATGCGCTCTGATACTCTATAGCTCTTGCCCTACATGGCTAAGGTCAGCACGTAATACCCAGCCTGTTAAGACAGAAACTAGGCAGTCTTCATAATTTCCTAGACACTAATGTGGTAAAAACTGAACCTATCCAAAATCCTGGGAAGAAAAAATTAATCATGACACTAGACCTCATGAAGTCTTTTTTCTTTTTTTTTTAATAATAAAAAAAGAAAAAAAAAACAAAACAGAAGAGCTGCCACTATGGCAGCTAGATGGAGCTAACCTTACGGCATATGTCCTAAAGCCACACTCAATAAGTCAAAAGATATTCTAGCCCAACATAACTATCCAGTAGAGACCATCACACAGGCCTATTTCTGTAAAAATCCATTTCTCTCTCTTAGACTTCAAGGCATTCTGGGAAGTAGAGAGGACAATAACCTACATCTTGTTTTGCCTCATATAAGGTGTCAGAGAACCTAGATGCAATGGGATTAAAGAAAAAAAATCTTTCTTTCACTAAGGTTGCCCAGTTGCCTCAAGGTCATCACAGGCACAGACCATGTTTTCTTGAGGGTTTGAATTCAGACCTCTTATTTAGCTCTTATAACATTAATAGCAGCCCCTTCAAATATTACTTTAGTATATATTTAAAATACATAATCTCAGTGCATCATAAAAAGTCAGCTTGCTCAGACAACAGGACAAACACAGAGACAGTATCACCTAATGCAGCCCCAAACATGAGGGTTCAACAAGCAATCTAGTCAATCTAGATTGCTTAAATTCCAATCAAGTTTGGAAACAGCATAAAACTATTCCATGGTCCAGTGTACAAGCAATAGTTGGTAAAACTAAGTGGGTGCCAAGAAATAAATGCAGGGCAGACAGACAGTGAAGGAAAGCTCTATGCCCATAGCTTGGAAATTAAAATTGTGTTCTGCTATATTTCCAACACATAGCTTTTCATTTCCATTCCAGCAAAGTCTGTTTCTTATAGCAAGGATGAGGTTGCTATAGCAATTACTTATTATCTAACATAACCCCTTTTATGTCAATAGATTTCAAGTGAAGAGTACCGTATATTTGATCTAGTTCCAATGAGAGATATCTACACAGGCACTGCAGGGACTAGCTAGGGAATTAATGTGAAATCAGGTAATTTGCTTGGCAAAAGCAAGTTCTAACCAAAAAGGAAAGTAGAGGTCAAAAATCAGCATTGCTGAGCAAGTTGTTAAGATACACAAAATCCCCCAACTTGAAGTCAGCAAGACAAAGAACTGGCTAAAAGAAACGTCTGTGCATAAAAAATGAGAGTTGATCATAATATAAAACAGTCCAGTTTTATCAGTGTACAGGATGTGGAGCTCATCATCTGCACAAGAAATACAGAACACACCCAAGGAAAGAAAAGGTTTACTTAAATTGTAAAAGCAGCATTTAAAAAAAGAAATCACATAAAATGTCTCCAAAAATATTACGTGCATAAAGCAGTACTTTTGCTAAAGATGCGAGCCTGCAAGTACAAAATAAAGCTAAAAAACAAAACTAATAATTTTTGAAGAGTGGTAGTTGGATCTACTTGACAAAGTCCCCTGCTGCAGCAATACAGTGTCAAAATGCCCACTATTCGCCATTTCTGAAGCAGTTTCATGCCCAGCTGCACCACCAGTCTCTCAGACGTGACTGTCACAAGGGAGTGCTTAGCCTCAGACTGCAACGTGACCCCATAGCTCCTCACCAGCAGAGATGCGTGTGATGTGCAGGAGCACAGATTCACACTTCTCTGGCTGCCTAGCTGCTAAGCAGCAAAGCAGAACCGCACCTACTGCCATCACGCATTTCACAATGTAGATGGTGCCTGTACAGGTGGGGATGGGTGGTAGGGCAGCCCAAAATGAGATCAGTTTTAACACAAAAAGATTGATCTAACTGGAGGGAGGAGAGGGAGAAGAAGAAAAAAAAAAAAGAGATTTATCCTATTGTGTAACTTCCTAATGGATTCACCTTTTCTAATTATAGCCTTCCCAAACCCTAATATCTCAACCAACTCATCCAATATTATGTGCTAACATCTAAACATTGTCAAAGTAGAGAGACTGGAAATGACTGATTCATCCCATCTTAAGATAAAGAGTCTAAGGTAGGACAGATGAATCATGTTGCAGGGTGCTCTCTTTCCTTTCATTATCAAGGGAGCCTCATTTAGACTGGATACCTAACTAGTAGATAGTTAGGTAAAAATAATAAGGCAATATGACTCCCCTCATAATGATCAACACATCAAAAGGGGGCAGTTTAATACTGTTTCCCTTCCAGAAAGATAGATCTCTAGGCAAAGCATATGTTCCCTTAAGTTTTTCTCTGATTCTAGAATTGTAAAAGTTACATTTTCTAAGTTGATTCCAAGCACTGTTGATTCCATCACTGGTAATCAATCTTGCATTATCTTCTGCATGAATCAAGCTACATTCAAGAAGATACAGTTTGTAGTACAAATCTATGTGCACAGCAGCAAAGTAGATACTTACAGAAACAGCTGAGCTGGGTGTATTTGTACCATAGCCAGAAGAAGGGAGAGAAGCCAGAGACCAGCGGCGACCATCAGTCCTGTTGTGAAAGGGAAGTTAGCAAACACATACTGCAGTATCCTTGCACAGTAACATCTGTGAACGGGTTATTGTGTAAAACTGCATTCCAGAAGCATGATACAAGCAGGGTTTTTAATAGAGAGTAAACTTTCACAGGGGATCACAATAAACAAACATTAGGCAAGCATGACTGGTTTGGGGATTTTCAGGGTACATTTTGTTTTTCTAGCTAAAATCTATGAGATGAAACAACTAGAAAGCAAAGGAACGGACCAACAGCACTTATCTCTCACAAACATGCATTAAAAATTGACACAGGGAGTCTTCATAACTCTCTGGTCCATTAGATGCAAATTAATGAGAAGCAAGCTGAAAACTTGGGAATAAACACAATCCACAAGGCTCTAATCCACAGAACAGCCACTGCAGTCTGCTAGAAACATGAGGGTAAGTCTCTACAGTGCGACCCCAGCACAGGATACCAGCAAACCAGCAAGCTAACATCACGTAACTGGGATGGTGAGGTTTGAACTTTAACTTATTAAAAGATACATGGAGATCAAGTAAAAAACAAATTATTTTTCTGCTAAAAAACATGCTTTCTTAGGATAAAAAAAAAATCTAGCCAAACACAATTTCTATTGTTCATAACTTCAGGTGATCTACACACAGACAACATGGGATTTAAAAATTCAGAGAGACAAATCAAAAATCAACTATGGGATTGGTATTTGGATTTTTGAGGAGGTAACGTTTACCTGTCATTTCGGTGCCCATGACTGGAGCACAATTGTATCAAATATGTTAAAGAGAAAAGGCAAAATAATACACATGTAAATAACAAAATTTGATTTGCTTTTAGAAATATAATATAATAGTGTGGGAAAAGATAGGAGAATTCAAGCTCTGTTTCACAGCCAGTACAAAAATCGAATCTCAAATCTGATCTTGCTCAAGAAATACAATTCAATTGAAGAGAATTAAAGTAGTGTCAAATCAGGAGCCCAAACTTTTTGATTCAACTTCTCTACCCTTCAAGATAACAAAAAAGGTCTGCATCTGTCTCTTCTAAGGCCTTCCTACTTCCATTTGTACATGCTCCAACTCAGTCTCTAGGTCCTCTAGGACTTTGAAGAAATAAAGCCTGAAAAAAAGGGCAAGAATTACATCTGAATTTTGTCAATGACATAATACAGTATACAATGTTGCTGCACATTAAAAAGGCCATGCTAAATAAAAAAAAAAAAAGAGCATGTGGAAGAGGGCCTGCTGACTGAACTCTCAAAGAACCTCTCTCTCTATATATATATACACACACATATCTGTGCATATATGTTAATATACATACCTGTATATGTATCTGTGTGTATATATATATGTGTGTGTGTGTGTGTATCTATTATTCTATTCATTACTTTTCCTTCTTTACTCTTCTTCCTCAGGTATGAACAACCATCTTCCTGATGCATGAAAAATTTCAAAATTATTTTTTTTTTTTTGGCTCAGCTGCACAAGCTAATTTTGTTCACAGTTGATAGAAAAAAACAACCTGGAAGGTATTTAAACATGGCTGAGACCTGTATATTCTGCAGCTGTAAGACTTCCTTACTACATAATTTAGACAACAGGGTTCCTGCATCCACACAGCAATTCCCAAGGGCCATGGGAGATGGGAATGGGTTATCACCAAATGTATGCGGGAAGCAGAGGACAGAAAATAACACCTGAGCCAGCACTGCAACTCCCTTCTGCCACTGCTTGCTTACTTGCACTTACTTACACCACCACTTTTCCTTATTTAAAATTATTTAAAACTTTTCATTTTGAACATAGTAACACTGCAATGCCCTTAGAAAACTCTCAAAAGTCAAAATGAAACCCTAATAGACAAATTCATTTTTTCCTTCTGAATTTTAAGGTTCACAGAAGCATGATGATTTCAGCTTTCTGTTCATTACTGATGGTACAGGAAAACTACTTCCCATCTGCTGTATTTCTAAATAATGTTCAGTCTTTCACATCTTTTTCCATTATAAGCTATTTCAGGGCTTTATGAATCTTTACCAAAAATATGTTCACAAAGAAACATAATCTAAAAAGATTACGCTGCATACCTGGCAACGTTCAATAGGCAAAAACAGTCGCAGCATTCCAATTTTACCTATAGATTGAGTCAACATACAAAATGTACCAACTCTCCCAGGCTTGGAGTGAATGAACGCATTACTCGAGGCAGGCTGACAAGGTGCTAGGTGATACAGAAGCACGCTGGCATGACTAAGCAGTCTCCTGTGACATGCTATATCAGCTTGGGCTACGGTTCATTTAATAATAATAATTTACTTCATATAACACTTCAAATTCACTTTCTACCTTGAAAAATTCTACCGACGTTAATTAATCCTCACAGCCCTCCTGCAGGAGGGACGAGAACCTCAGCAGCAGAGGTAGCGATGCGGGTCGAGGTCAGATGGGACATGGGGCGGCTGCCAGGAGCACTGGCCGGTGGCGGGAGTCCCCCCACTCCACAGTGTCCTCGGCCGTGCTCCCCACCTTGCACCTGGGCCTGGGTGCTCTGGCTGTACCTGAAGAATCCTCCAGAGTTCAGTAGATGAGATGATGACAACTAAATTTATAGTATCTGACTCCAATCCATTGCAATTAAAAGTCCATTAACTTTTTTCTTTTAATTAGAAAGATATGATTGCATCATGCATCTAGTACAATTTTGTTGCAACTGAGGTTTAAGAGAGTTTACATAACAGAGCTAGAGTTACTCATTCTCAGTGACTAACCTGACAGATGCAGCTACTTATTAGCAGCCATCATTTAATATCTGGGTTCAACAACATTTCCTCTATGCAAAATACAGGCTACTTATTACAAAAAAAAGTCTTACCTTCGTGCAAAAGAAAAGTGGGCTGAGGCACTGGGAGAGAAGTTTCTAGGGCTATCTTGAGGACTGTTTCCTGTTTTAGGGAAGAGGATGACACAAATAAATATATGTAGTTTGTAAATATACAAATAAACAGACAAAAAGAAAATACCATTCAGACCTGCTCATCCTAGCGTTTTCAGACAGCTTAGAAACCTGTTTTGGAATTGTTCTTCTCCAAGAAACTAAAATTCAGAAGTCTGATCTTATTTCAAACTATTTCTCATTTATATTTGATTTTTAGCAATTAGATTCTACAATTTATTTTATAATTCTCTTTTCAAAGTAATTAAACTTTACAAAACAGTATTTTAGCTTGAAAGAAATATTTTGAATGCTGGGAACGTAGTTTTCTTGTTGTTGTTGAATCACAAAAATATTTGACAGTTATAAAATCCAGAACACAATTAGCACAATGCAGTCCTTACATAAAGTGTCTATAACATTTTGTCCAACAGCTATGTTGTGAGATTGTCATTATTTGCAGTAGCTCTGAACTCCTGAGCGAATAAACAGGCAGAACACACAGAATGAAAGTTTCTGTCGCCCTTTGCTAGCTCCAGGCATGGAAAGGTGACCCCCACTCCCGAAGGGGTGAGCAGTTCCCTGCCCACAGAACAGGCAGAACCTCAGGGGCTGCCACTGCTTCCTAGCAGAGCATGGGAGCTCACAGGAGCAGGAGGCAGCAGCCGAGGACAGGGCCTCCTGTCACCCCCACTGCTCTGCAGCTACAGAGGAAATAGTGTCTAGAGAAGAAATGCAGGGGACGCCTGTATAAAATCCAGCAGCCTGCAGTATTTGTTTTAAAGCAGCATAGGCTATTGCACATACTTAAGTAACAGACTGTATTAACAACAAATTAAAGAAAAAAGAAATGTATGCATTGTAAGTTGTTTGGGGGGGGCATAAATGAGACTGCAATTGCAATTAAGCAGATAGAAAAGCTTCTATGTATACACTCAGAATTGACATCTAGCTTTGAGAAGAAAATTACCATTTCTGAAAAGAAAAGCCTGGTGCAATTCCTTGAAGACCTCATGTAGCCTTGATTTCTACTCACTGAGCGGAATGCTCAAGTTTCTGTATTCATCAATAAGGGGATTTCCCCACAGTCTGGCTGAAGAGCAGGACAAAGGGAGGGGGAAGACTGAGCAGAGCCATGAGCGAGTGGGACAAAAGAGCATCTGCCAAAGGTGGGGGCCTTTACAAAGGAGGGAAATAAGGGAATTCCCCCACATTCTTCAGCAAGGGGGACAAAGGAGTCAGGTGAGCTCAGGTGAGAACAGATGGCGGGAGGCCGGAGTTCGGTGTAGGCGGGCCGGGAAGGCTGTAACTTCTGAGTCCCTTGGCCAATGGGGAAAAGGAGAGGGCGTCCCTCGGTCGGGAAATTAGGATAAAAGGGGGGCTGCGTCCCCCAGCAATTTGAGAGACCCCACAGGGATATGCCCGGTGGACTCCCTTTATTTGAATAAAGTTTTAGGACTCCTCTGTCTCCTTTTTGGACATTCAGTTCTTGACAGCGAGATTTTCCACACACACTTTTAAATCAACATTGTGTATATCACAGTGATGTCCTTAGCAGACCCTCATTTACTTCGCAAAATCATGAAGCTATTTAGATAGCAAACCCAGAAGAAACATTTTTTTTGGGGGGGAGGGGCAAGAGGGCGTCAGAAGGAGATGGAAAATACACCCTCCTCCCCCCAAGAACCCACTTCATCACTCCCCAGACATTTCCCAAGGTCTGGATGATTTCAAGGCAGCCAGGACTTTTGTTCCCTGAGGGGCTTGAGAGTGGGATCCAAAGCTGCACATGTGGCACAGATTTCGATCTTTATTTGGGGACCAACACAATTTATTCTTGTCCTGCATGAACTGCAAGCAAATACCACATTACCAAGAGCAATGGTTTGTTTAATTTAACAGCTAACTGGATTTCTTTTGTTTGTACAAAACCTTATTTAATAAAGACAAGCTAAAAAATGGTTAACACTGTCCAGATAAAATATGGTTACAAACTCTAGCTACTGCACTAGAAAGAATGAGCTATAATTAGGAATATGTCATGGATTTAGATAAGAGAGAGAAAAAAAAGCGAAACGTCTACTTTAAAGTCTGGCAGAAGAGTAGAGAATTAGTTTTAAAGAAAAAAAAAGCTATGGACATAAACACTTTCTGATAGGAATTAATTTGACAAATGAACAGGTAGGGTTATCTATGAACTCTTTTTTACTGATATCTATTTAGAAGCTTTATCTGGATATCAACAGCATAACTAATCAATGGACAGTTGTGTATTAGAACATATGCTTAACCTTTACATGGAAACAAAAACATAGCAAAAGATTTTTTTTAATAACTATTACAGGGGATTCAACAAGATTCAACAGTGCAAGCTACTTCACTGTGAACAAAGATCACTTAATTACAGCCAAAACACGAAACAAACTCTTATTCAGCAGAAGCATCAGATCTTATTAACATGAAAATCAGTTTTCGAGCACTGATTTTAATAGAAAATAAGCTTTTAGAGTAACAAATTTGGAAAAGCTGTATAATAATGATTTTTCAATTCTGCACGTTTATCTGCATGTCCGAGCAACAACTTGTACAAGCGTGGGAACAGAGTGAAAAATCCAAACTTGAAATAACTGTGGAAGTAACTACTGCTATTAGAGGTTTAAGGTGTGGTGTCCAGAAAAGCCAAATAGGTTAGAAGCAGAGTCCAGAGTATGTGACCTTCATCCATTACAGCAGGG